TTCCAGGTGCAATAGTAGATCTTTCTGGATGTGACTTTCTTTGCTTTAAGCAATGTAGAAACTATTTATTATTATTATACAGAATTTATAGAGTGCCAACAGTTTGAGCAGCACTTTACAACATGAGGGCAGACAGAACAGATACAATACAATTCAATTCAAGACAAGAGGGCCCTGCTTGTTCAAGTTTACAATCTAAAAGGAAATGAGAGTGAGAGACCCTCTGTCCTTCAAGAAGTAGAATGGAACAGGGGGCCCCAAAAACCATAAGTCTGGCCTGTTTGTAAGAGGTCAGAGATTGTCTCCTAGAAGTTGGAGTATGTTTTTGTGTACAAGGTTCTTGTGAGCCAGTTTGGTGCAATTAGAATGACTGGTTTCTTCTCTTGCTCTCTACAGTATTGTGCAGAGTAGTCAAGATGGAATTCACACTGGAGGAAAGGCACAGATTAGCTGGAATTGAGTTTGATGAATCAGAGCATGTGAGGCCAGTTCTAGAAAATCCTTGGTCCTGGCCACAAACAGAAGTAACTTGCTGTTGAACCTGGAAGCTTTGATATCCACCCCTGGGGTTACCAATCTCTGATATATAAGGTTGAAGAGGTCACAGTGAAGAGTCCATTCCCCTTGGTCCAAGTGCTGATGACTGAGGTGATCCATCTTCCAATAGTCCACTCCTGGGATTTGAACAGCAGAGTAAGTGAGACAGTGTTGCTCTCTTCATGAGATGATCAGGCTTGTTTCCTTCAAGGCTGCATTACTACTTCTACCCTCTTTGAGTGATGTAGGCCACAGTTGTGGCATTGTGTAATCAAGTGTCCCTGAAGAAGGTGGTGGAGACAAGTGGTGCAGAGCCATTTTAATCCCTCTGAGCTCCAAGATTTTGGTGGGGTGCTGGCTTTCCTGGGTGATCAAGCTCCATGAACTGTGGAAGACTAGAATACTCCTTCCCAGCCTTAGAGGCCAAAATCGGTTATCCCCTTCCAATGACATAGTAGAAACTACACTGCTCAAAAATATTAAGGGAACACTTTGAAAACACATCAGATCTCAATGGAGAAAAATATCATGTTGGATATCTATACTGATATGGACTTGGTAATGTGTTAGGAATGTAAGGATGCCCCATTGCTTGATGAAAATGATCAACCTACAAAAAGACTGAATTCAAAGACAACCCGAAAATCAAAGTGAAAAAATTTTGCCGCAGGCTAGTCCATTTTATATTTTACAAATATAATATTTTTTGTCCTGTCTTCCATTCACACAGACACAACAGTCCAAAATTACATGGCAGCTGGTGTTGTTGAGAAGCCTCTGTGTCCACGACTATACCCAACATGTGAAGGGTGGACTCCTAGACCAGATGATGAAGCTGTACATAGTTTACCGTAAAACCAGACACTGGTACAAAAAAAGTGTCTGAATATTTATTTCAGTCGGCTCTGGACAACACTTTTGTGCTTTACAAAGCAACTGGACAAATTTGATCCTTCCTAAAATTTCAGGAAGAGATCATCACAGACCTTTTGTATCCAGAAGATGCTATGGACTAAACCCCCAACCCAGATACAGTGAGCCAGTTACATGAGAGGCATTTTCCTGATGCCATTCCTGGTACCCCAACCCAAAAAAGGTTACCCCCAAAAAAGTCATGTCTGTAGCAGACATGGAATTAAACACGGCACCCTCAAGGACTGCTTTCGTTGCTACCACACACTAGTGTAGTATTCGTATAGAGCAGCCTTTTTCAACCAGTGTGCCTTAAGGTTTCTTCATGCAAAAGGTCTAAAAACTTGTATACAAGCCTGTCTTTTAGTCACACAAAGCCACAGGTTTTCAATGTGCATACTGACAACCAATGACAGCATCAGTTGATGAGGAGGATGTTGGTTGCCTGCACAGCATCCTTGTTTGACTCTCCAATACCCCTTTCCATCAGTGCTGGGGTCACATCAGCTCAGTGATGGGAGAAAAAACTGAGGGGGAAGAAAAAAATTGGAATACTAGTCAGTACCAGTGTGCAAAAGTGTATTTTCATTATCTAATGCATGTTGCCGAGTTATAACTATAATAATTTTTTACATTTTAGAATGGGGTGCTTCGAGACTGCCCATAATTTTAAAGTGTGTCTTGGCACTATCCAAGAGAGCAAGTGGTTAATGTCTGAGTCCTAGAGGAGCGGCATTTGACTTTCTGACTGCAGTAGAGATGGCCAGCGCTTCTGAGCCTTTCACATTAACAGCTGTATAAAAGCCATTAGCTGTCGTAGAAATTGTGATGTAGTAGCAGAAAAGTCTGCCTTAGTCAAGAAGGCTCTTGTTGCGTGCCTGAGAAAACTAAAAGTGGATGCAGAGACTAGTTTTAAAAGTGCTGTTCCGGTGCAAGGGAGGCATCGTCACTGAATGAGAGGTCTTCAACAAATAATCTTTGCGCTTTTGCTGAGGTTCCTGACACCGCCATCAATGAGGGCATTCCCTCTGTGTGGTACTCAGAGTAAGGGTGCTGCAATGGGGTAAGCATGTCCTAAAAGGAATATGTAGCAATCTGGGTATCCACCGTCCTATAGCAAAGGACGGCAAAAGGACAGAAGGAAGCATCTGTAATAAAAGGTTCCAGGTTGAAGTGGTGGTACACTGTGTGACCAGAGTTGTAATTTAACACTTTGCTGTGCACCCGAGATTAACCTCAGGAGGTCAAATTTTTTATGCCAAGTTTAAAAAGGTTAACATATTATAAGTTTCAAACGCATTCCCGGCTTCCTGATAAATGTTATCAAAAATACTCTTGAGGATACACACACTCTCTGTGTGTGTGCAAGAGATTATTTCTCATACTTGATAATGGGTTACAGTAACGGTCCCATCTTACCGGTCCAAGTTGTTAATCCCTATAAAGAGTGCAGGCTTTGCCCGTCAAAACAAGCTTACCACCAGAGGGTTCTTCAGCGTCAGGGTTCCATATGGATGGACCATGGCAATAGACTTGTGTGGCACGCTGCTGCTAATTACACACATTGCACCAACTGACAAACTGGGCATCCATCTTTTTAGGACACAACCAAAAAACTGAGAACTAATGGAATGGGGTAGGGTTATAGTGAGATGCCCAGAGGGCATGTATGCAAAACCTTTTCCAGTGTCCAATCACCTGTTGATACCAACCTACAACCCAGAACCTGTGAAATATCAAGCATGTGTCCTGTTCAAATAAAGACATCAATTTTATTTGCATTATCACAAGCATTGTGACCTACAAAATCAATAGCACTATCTTTTTATTCAAATGATATATAAAAAACTGGGCAAAATCTTAAGTGGAAGTGTTAAAAAGTGCAAAAAGGTACATAGGGGAGTGCAGGCATTGCAGCGCTGAAGGGGGATCCACTTAGATAAGTCTGCCATAATGTGTAAATATGCTGTGAATTCTTGTACATCACGGCAAAAACCTGCCAGGGGTCCAACATTTTTCATTTGGTCTAGTGGTTTAATTCCACTTTAAAATGGGGCTAGAACTGGACAAAGTGGGTGCTCATACCTTGCCTTTGGCCAAGTTTGCCTTTAGTACAGCCATCTATTCTGCTGTGAATCATCTAAAAAGCAAGTGTTTTTCAGACAGAGACCACATATGAAAAGAAGTAGGGGTTAAAGTACCTAAGTAGGCAGCTTATAGCAATTGTATGCATAGGCAGTGAAAGATAAATACCATAATAATATACATAGAAATGTAATTTTTAATAGTTTTAAATAGAATCTGTCATGGAGGGAACCCCCCCCCCCTAAAAAAACAAAACAAAAAAAAACTGCAGGCAAATTAGTACAGGGACAGGAATGTGGGGGGCAGGGCTTGGCATCACACAGTGACACTACTGAAGTACAGAAGCTTTGTCTGTCAGAATGGCCAAGCAATCAGATGTAAATGGAGGGTTTGGAAGGCTGTTGCAGGTATATGCAGTCACTTCTAGGTCCTTTTAAACCAATGTAATTACAAATCTATGAATTCAGCATTCACACTTTGGTAATTTTTCAAGGTACTCTTGAGCACAGAACAGAAGCAGCCAGAACACATTATGAAAAAAAGGATTTATTCCAAAGATAATTTTTTTTTTTTAAAAAAAGGTTGTTTATCTCTGTCAAGCAAATGATTCATACTTTTAAAGAAGCAATGGAAAATAACCTACAATCAAACACACCCATGCCTTTGACAATCACTGAGTATTAAAAAAATAAAGCTATTTAGCATGTCCAACAAAACCCAGAGACTTAGGAGCAGGGCAAACATTTTGCTCTCCAATGTGATTTAATGAGTAATAAGAGGAAAAGGAGGAGTCATGGTCACAGTCAAGGAAAACAGAAAGTTAAAAATATTTGAAAAATGGAGACAGAGGACAAAAAGGATGACTGGTGGTATTAAACGCTGGAATCATATCAGAATAAAGTCAAACGTAACGGGCTATGGAAAAGAGCTGTGTGGAAACTGCAGTAACCCAAAAGGAACTAATCTGACTGGCAGCTTTGGGCTGGGGACGCTGCACATCAGTGCCCTTTGCAAAGCTGTACAATGTATGCCCGTATGGCTATATCCACATGAGCGTTTTTGTTTTCGGCACATCCTACCAGTTTTCATAAAAACGCTACAAGTGGTTACAGTGTTTTACAATTTGTAGAAATATGGAAACAGGTGCAGACATTTGCATGCTAGAGGAGGATTAAAAAGAAAAAAAATAATAAAATAAAAAAAAAAAACACAGGCATACATGCATACATTCAGGTGAATTCTCTCTTACGTCTGAGGAACATATGAAAACTGGTTTGTTTCTGAAGTGTGAAAAAAAACTCCCATGTGGACAAGCCCATATACACAGTAGAAGCTGATGTCAGGTAAGGCAGCCTCTCACAAAGAGGATTTTTGCTAAATTAAGGTTGATTTAAAAGTTCATAGGTGGCGGGGTAGAAGAACAAGAGGCTTAGAGGATGGGTCTATTTAGCCAATTCCTCAGCGCGTCAGCTGCAATTTTTCACCAATAGGACAGTGTGTTGACCTCCACTGGACACAGACAACACATCTCTGTTCTCAAGCTGCTTTCCCGTCATCTTATAAGGACTCCAAACATCATCCTCTTTACCTGTACCAAGCTGCTGGTTAGTTCCCATACCCCAGGAGAAGACATGGCCTACAGAAAAGAAACATTAAGCAAAAACAATATGTCAAATGTGTCATGTGTGCATGAAAATTGGCAATTTCAATTCAGTTTACACAAGTAAGAAAAAAACCTTGAGGCAAAAGCAGACAATTGGTCCAATTTACAATCTAAAAGGAAGTAAACACTTAACAAAAAAACTCACCATCCCTAGATACAGCATAACTGACAGAAGCTCCACATGCAACAGATGCTATTTTAGGGAGACCAGGTATCAGTGTGGGTTCACTTTTCTCTTCAGAGCTCTCTCCAAGGCCAAGTCGCCCATACTCTGCACGCCCCAAACAGTATGCATTTCCTACAATTAAACCAGCAGCATTAAGGTACAGCATGGAAGATATTCAAGATTTTAACAGGTTTTAGAAACTTTCTTAAAACCTACCTTCTGAGTCAAGACACACAGTATGATGCTGGCCACCAGAAAATCCAACCCAGGATTTAGTAGAGTTTTTGAAAGAGGTCAAGTTTTTGGGTTGAAAGCATGAGCTAGTAGTCTTGGTGCCTGCAGCAAAAGGATTACACAAAAAAAAAAAAATAAAAAAAATTTACATCACAATGTTGCACAGAGCTACTGTATACATTTTTTTAAACCTGATGCCAACCAAAACTACTCCTTGCCCCTTTATTATGGTCTGTGTTCTTATTAGAGATTTTCAGTTCATGTCTCAGTGACACAAAGACAATAACCAACAGGATTACGAGTGTCACTGACAGGAAAGTGCAGACCAATAAAAACCTGACAGAAGTTCTTACCTGTCCCCCAATCAACTAAATATGCTTTTGTTGCTGTCTGTCCCTATCAGAAAACTTCCTTTACTTATTTTCCTGGTCATACCCTGTCAATGAAGCAAGGGAGGCGTGTAACACATACATATATATATATATGTGTCTCATCAGTTGGCCAGCTTGAACATGTATTATATGCGAAGAATCCCCATTCTATAAACAAGCATTTGCTATAGATAAGGGTTAATAAGCAAGTGTGTGTGTGTGTATAAAGTATTCACAGCGCTGACAGTTTGCCGCATTTTGTTATGTTACAGCCATCCAAAATGGATTAAATTAATTTTTTTCCCCTCAATATTCTACAAACAATACCCCATAATGACAACGTAAAAAGTTAGTTTTGAAATCTTTGCAATTTATTAAAAATGAAAAAAAACAAAAAAACACACAACAACAACAACACATGTGCATAAGTATTCACAGCCTTTGCTCAATACCTTATTGAAGCAACTTTAGCACCAATTACAGCCTCAAGTTGTTTTGAGTATGATGCTAGAAGCTTGGCACACCAATTTTTGGGCAATTTCTCCCATTGTTCTTTGCAGTACCTCTCAAGCTCCATCAGGTTGGATGGGGAGTGTCAGTGCACAGCCATTTTCAGATCTCTGCAGAGATGTACAATCGGGTTCTGGCTGGGCGACTCCACAACATTCACAGAGTTGGCCCGTAGCCACTCCTTTGTTATGTGGGCTGTGTGCCTAGGGTCGTTGTCCTGTTGAAAGATGAACCGTTGCCCCAGTCTAAGGTTTAGAGCGCTCTGGAACAGGTTTTCACATCAAGGATGACTTTGAATATTGCTGAATTCATCTTTCCTTCGATCCTGACTAGTCTCCCAGTTCCTGCCACTGAAAACCACCCCCACAGCATGATGCTGCCACCACCATGCTTCACTGTAAGGATGGTATTGGCCAGATGGTGAGTGGTGTCTGGTTTCCTCCAGACATGGCGCTTGGCATTCAGGACAAAGAGTTCAATCTTTCTTTCCTCAGACCATGAGAAACAAAACTCTCTGGTCTGAGAGTCCCTCAGGTGCCTTTTGGGAAACTCCAGGCGGGCTTCCATTTGCCTTTTACTGGAGGAGTGGCTTCCGTCTGGCCACTCTACCATACAGGTCTGATTGGTGGAGTGCTGCAGAGATGGTTTGTTCTGCAAGGTTCTCCTCTCTCCACAGAGAAATGCTGGAACTCTTTCAGAGTGACCATCGGGTGCTTGGTTACCTCCCTGGCTGGCTAAGGACCTTCTCCCTCGATCGCTCATTGTGGCCGGGCAGACCGCTCTAGGAAGATTCCTGGTGGTTCCAAACTTCTTCCATTTACGGATGATGTAGGCCACTGTGCTCATTGGGAACTTCAATGCTGCAGAAATTTTTCTGTACCCTTCCCCGATCTGTGCCTTGATACAATCCTGTCTCAGAGGTCTATGGACAATTCCTTGGACTTCATGGCTTGGTTTGTCCTCTGACATGCACTAACTGTGGGACCTTATATAGACAGGTTTATGCCTTTCCTAATCATGTCAAATTAACTGAATTACCCACAGGTGGACTCCAATCAAGTTGTGGAAACATCTCATGGATGATCAGTGGGAACAGGATGCACCAGAGCTCAATTTTGAGTGCCACAGCAAAGACTGAATACACACATTTTTTTTTTAAATAAAAATTGCAAAGATTTCAAAACTAAATTTTCATTATGGGGTATGGTTTGTAGAATGTTGAGGGGAAAAAAAAATTAGTTTAATCCATTTTGGAATAAGGCTGTAACACAGTGGTTCTCAACCTGTGGGTCGTGACCCCTTTGGGGGTCAAACGACCCTTTCACAGGGGTCGCCTAAGACCATCGGAAAACACATATTTCCGATGTGTACAGAGCAGCTACTGTGTAGAAAGCAGCTGCTGTGTTGCAAGCAGCTACTGTGTTAAAAGCAGCCATTTTGAAGGTAAAATGACACAAATTAGAATTACTGGGTAAAGAATTTTATGGTTGGGGGGGTCACCATAACATGAGGAACTGTATTAAAGGGTCGTGGCATTAGGAAGGTTGAGAACCACTGCAACATAACAAAATGTGGCAAAAGTTAAGCGCTGTGAATACTTTCTGGGTGCACTGTATGTACACACACACACTCACTTTTTTCAGTAAATATATTGCTACAGGTGCTATTGGCATGAACATTTTCACCAAATGTTGGCAACAACCAATGCAATTATTATTATACAGGATTTATATAGCACCAATAGTTTACACAGCGCTTTGCAACATAAAAGCAGACAGTACAATTACAATACAAATTAATACAGGAGGATTCAGAGGGCCCTGCTCGTTTTAGAGCTTACAATCTAAGAGGGAGGGTCGAGAGATACAAAAAAGGTAATAACTGTGGGGGATGGGCAGACGGACAAAATACATGTACAGTTGTTAGGTGGGGGGCAGGATAGGCCTTTCTGAAGAGTTACGTTTTCAGGGATCTAAAAGTGGACAGAGATGGATATAGTCGGACACATTGGGGAAGAGAGTTCCAGAGGATCAAAAAACAGCTCTGGAGAAATCCTGGAGGCGAGCATGGAAGGAGGTGACAAGGGAGTTAGAGAGCAAGAGGTCTTGGGAGGAACGAAGTTGTTGTAAGTAACTTGAATTTTATTTGCTCGATAAGCGGGAGCCAGTAGAGGGACTGGCAAAGAGGGGTGGCAGACACTGAACGGTTGGTAAGGTGGATTGGTCTGGCAGCAGCATTCATGATGGACTGGAGGGGGGATAGCCTATGCAAAGGTAAGCCAGTGAGGAAGGAGTTGCAGTAGTCAAGACGGGAGTGACCAGGGAGCGAATTATAAGCTTTGTGGTACCATTGGTTAGGAAGGGGCGTATCTTGGAGATGTTGGAGGTTGAGGCGGCAAGCTTTGGATAGCAATTGAATGTGGAGCCGAAAGAATAGTTCAGAGTCCAGGATTACACTTGGCACCCTAGCATGTGGGGCGGGTTGATGGTTGAGCCGTTGGAGTGAGCTGAGGGGTAGAGAGATAGATTTGGGTGTCATCAACATAGAAAATGGTATTAAAAGCCATGGGAGGCAATCAACTGACCCAGAGAGGAGGTGTAGATTGAGAAAAAGAGGGGTCCCAGTACAGAAACTTAGAACCCCAATGGAGAAAGGAAGAGAATAGAAAAGTAGAATTGTAAGTAACACTGCAAGGTGCAGTGGGATAGGTAGGATGAGAACCAATGAAGAGCACAGTCACATAGACCAAAAGGAGTAGTTTTTTTCTCTGAGGAGAGTACAGAATAGTGTCAATTGGTTTTAGCCGTTAGTTTATAAGTTTGAGAAGAGCAGTTTTCGTGGAGTGCAAAATCCAAAATCCAGACTTAAGGGGATCAAGAAGGTAATTCTCAGCTGGATGTAGACCAGGTGTTGAAGGAGTTTGGAGGAAGATGGGAGTAAGGAGATGGGTCATAGTTTAAAATTGGTGGGGGTCTAGTGAGGGCTTTTTAAGTATGGGGGTGACTAGTTCACATTTCAGAGAATTGGGGAAGATGCTGGAAGAGATCGAAGATGTGAGTGTAGGATAGAGCCAGAGGGTGACTGTAGCATTTGCGACGGACTAGGGGCCAGGGGGCACATGGTTAGGTGGGCGTTAGAAAAAAGTTTAGCAACCTCGTCTATAGGAGTGGGATTAAGTGTGGGAAGTAGAAATTGTCCCTGTGGATGTGGAGTGGTAAGTAGGGGAGGTATCTGTGAGTTAGAGGTCTCCTCACGAATTGTATCAAATGTTTTTGAAGTGTGATTGGCGATCTCCTGGGCAGGCCAGTGATTTAATGGGTGGAGGCAGTGGAGGATAAAGAAGAGAATTGAAGGTAGAGTTGAAGTTGAGGATTGGATGAGAAGGTGTTAGAGTAATGAAATAGGTGTGGAGGCAGAATAGTATTTCTGGAGGGCAGATTTATATTGGTTGAAGTCTGAGACATAGTCTTACGCCACAGACGCTCAAGAGCGCAGCTAATTTTTTTGAGACCTCTGGTGTCATCCGTTTGCCAAGGTTGTAGGGGTCGGACCTGATTGTGTATGTAGTGAGGGGTGCGAGTTTGTAGACACAAGTGGCTAGATTTGGCCAGGACAGGGATGATATTTTGTCAGAGGTGGTCAGCAGCAGAGTAGAGAATAGAAGGGTTGAGGTGGCAAAGGTTTCTATGAGTAACTGTTAGGTGGTTGGAGGGAGAGGAGTTGGGCATCAGGGAGAGAATGAAGCCAATATGGTGGTGATCAGAAAGCGGGAGAGACTTGTTGGAGAGGTTGCATGGAGTGCATAGATAGGAGAACAAAGGTCAAGGGTGTTGCCATTGGAGTGAGCAGAAGCCTGTATCCATTGCTCCAGGCCAAAAGAGGCGGCTAAATTAAGAAGTTTAGAAGTAGCAGGAGTGTTAGCATTAAAAAGGGACCTTGAAGTCACTGAGAATGATTGTGGGGATTTCAGAAGAGAGAAAGAAGGGTAGCCAGGCAGGAAAGTCATCAAAGAAAGTAGATCCCAGTCCAGGGGGCCGGTAGATCACAGCAATTCTTAGAGAAACCAGAGAGAATAGATGTATGCAATTTGCCTCAAAAGAGAAGAGTGTCAGAGAGGGAGGTGGGTGAAGTACCTGATAGGTGCTCTGTGGGGCAAGGAGGATTCCTACTCCACCTCCCTTCCATCCGGGAGAGAGAGTCCAGAGAAGGCCACCATAGGAA